AAATAGTATTCCCCAATATGGGTGAGTTATTTGAACACATGATATGGGAATAAAAAGATGGAAGTAAAAATATTTAATTAACATTCACATATTAAGAATTAGTATTAAAAATTCATGTGTTTTGAATTAAAGACATTTGAATGTTCAACATTTCCATCTTGCTTTATATATGAGTGTTTCAATTTTTATATACAGTATCATTATCATTCAATTTGTATCCTGGAGTAATTGTTAAGGTTTGGATATGAGTTGCTCTCTGAAAGCTCATGTGTGAGACAACACAGAAATATTCTGAGGTGAAATGATTAGATTATGAGAGTTATACCATGGTGAATTAATCCTTTTGATAGATTAATAATTTGAATGGACTACTGTATTGGGTGGTAACTGTAGGCAGGTGAGATGTGGCTGGAGGGAGTTTATTACTGGGGGCATGTCTGGGTTTTTAGTTGATCCGTTGTGCATTCACATCTCTCTCTCTCCACCCCCCATCTCTGCTTCCCTCCCTCCCTCCCTCTCCCTCTTTTCTGGCTGCCATGGTTGAGCAGCTTTTCTCTTCCATATCCCTCCACCTCTAATGTTTGGCCTCACTCAGACCCACAGCAATGGAGATGGCCAATCATGGACTGAACATCGGAAACCATGAGCACCAAACTTTTCCTCCTCTAAGTTGTTCTGGTCAAGTGTTTTGGTCATAGCAACACAAAGCTGACTAACATAGTGATTTATATACTTGGCAAAATGACATTGTAAATAATCTCTATAAAAAAATCTTGCACATTAGATATGGATCAATAAGATATAAGTTATTTTGTGAGAATCAATATTCTTTTCAAAAATTGTCCCTACTTGCATTTGTGGATCTTGTAGTGGTCCTTGGTTATGCTTTTAAATATTTCCATTTCATTATTCCTTTCTTTCTAATGATAAGAAAATCCTTTTAAAGTTACTTTATAGTAGATTTTTATTTTATTTTTTTTAGTTGCCGTATTTGTTTATTTTCACATATAACGTTTGTGATTGTATCCACCCTCACTTCTACCCTCTCTTGCCACCCCTCCCCCTTGTCCTCCTTTCCCTTTCCTTCCCTAAAAATTCCCTTTCAAAGGGCAATATTCAAAGATGTAAAAAATGTGATTCTTGATATTATTTTTTTAATAACTGAAATTTATGAAAATACTCTCATTAATTTTTTTAACTGTGGACAAAGTCTCCTGCATTTCACTTTGGAATCAATTGTGAATCAGTAAATGTATGATTAAATGTGGAAGAGGAACCCTCCTATTGAGGTGATGATCAAATTGATTATCATAAAAGCAGAAAATCATATGAAACTCCAGAGAGCAAAAGATGGGATGACATCTTCCTGGAAAGCACATCTTTTCTTTTTGTGATGACTGTCTCAGGCTACTCTTTGTAACTGACTACATTATTTGTTGAAAAGCACATAGTTCTGTTTTAAAACTCATGTTTTCTA